AATTCAAGCCTTGCATTTATAAACCAGACAGAGGAGCAGGTTGTGGTTTTGAGGCTGAGCATATTAAAATATGTGCTCTGGTTTGCTGGTTACCATGAAGCCCTAGTCACAAATGTGCTTTCTCAAACCTACCCTTCCTCTTTGGCTCGCCTAAATCATCAGTTGGGTTCAGGATGATACTGACACCTTACTTCTGAAATTAAAAGCACTTCGCTGGTTTGGTCCAGAAGATGAACTCTGAGGCTTAGTCTTAATGAGCTGATGGTTTTCTCAGATACTCAGACCTCATTTTAGGAAATCAATTCTTCCCTGTGAAGGTTAGCAGGAACTGAGATTAAGCATTTTTAAAATTCAGTATTAAAAACTTTAAAAACATTTTTCACTCTAAAGTGGAGCTAGAATGAAAGTGGTGAAATGACTACTTTCTCTTCCTTTGTTGAAAAAATAACATGAAAATCATTATAGGAATTAAGAAACTGAGTTCATTGTGTTTATTACAATAGCGTCTGAGGCATCAGCCATAAAAGGTCTCGTTTATACAATACAAACAGATGCAGAGGAATCTCTGCTTCCAGTAGATTCTTTAGTCCCTGTTAAGGTACCGGGTGACTTAGTAACTGGATCCAGTGAGAGTCATCTTGCTCAGAAACAGCTATCTAAACATGCAGTCGGATAAATATATGAGGAAGAAACCCACACTCACTGTCATAACACTAATTTGGCTGTTGGGGATGAGGACATGGTTGCTGCTGTCAGAGCCTGCTCAGTAACTCAGTACAAGAAGGGGAGTTTTGGCTCATTTGTACAGATGAGGATGCCTCCATATTGGGAAGAACACTTCTGCCAACAGTGTTGTCTGAAACTGAGGCAGAAAATTTAAATATGAAGGAGAAAAATGTGACATGAAGCAATCTGTCAAAGGGATCAGAGTCATTAAGATGAAAAAGGCTGGGTGAACTTTAGAGACTGAAAGTTTCCTTAGCCTGGTAGCATACTACTGCAGGCTGGTGCCTAGTTTGAATGCCACCACAGCTCCAGCATCAGATCTGTTTAAGAAATAAGAGCCTGAGCAGTACAGAACGGACTTACTGGATGTCAGAAGGTCTCTGATGTTTCAACAAGTCTTAACCCTGCTGATGAAGCATGATTTTGCAGAAGGTTTTGTGACCTAAGTCAGAGTTTCAGAAACTGATTTCAGGTACATAGATGTGAAAATATAGCTATGGGAAGAAAGAGTGGAAATACTGCACCTAGGGTGAAAAACAAAACCCACTCCCTGCTAATTCTGCGAGGCTGGAAACTATGCCAAAATCAAATGGAACAGGGTAATGACAGTGAATTTTTGTCACTTCCGGAAGATGAACTGAAGCTCTCACTGTGCTCACGGCCACGTCTGGAGTGCAAAGAACGCTGCCAGTCAGCCTCCCGGGGCTGTCAGCATGGGAACCGACACTCGCTGAAGCTGATGGCAGAATTGAGATATTCCAAATTTAGAGAAAGAGTTACAATCACAGCAGACAGCAGGTACAACAGATACCTGCACACTTATAATCAAGTGCAAAAAAATGCATGTCTATCACCTACTGCTTAACAGCCTTGGCATGGCAGGTGCTTGGCTTTCAAGCATCAGCTGGCTGAGAATGTCAGAAAACGCTCTACCTGACAAGCCATCTCTCCTTAGAAATCTGGTTTGTGGAGATCTCCTTATGATCATGAATATGACAGCTCTGAGCAAACCTGGGCTTGGTTGGAAAATATCAGCGTTGGCAGAGCCCATGCCTTTCCTTCCTGGGGCACAGGACAGAGATATGGGGAAAAAATGAAATAGTCCGGCTAGCAAGTGCATGGCTGGACTACGTATCAGTGGCCAGCACTGCCGTGCCACTGACCAGCACTGCCGTGCCACTGACCAGCACAGATGCATAAAGTCGGACAAGGGCTTTGTTCACAAGTATCATCCCGTTTCCTCAGAGACTATTCTTTCCAAACTGTGCTGATACCACACTGAACAGATGAGGTTTTAGCCAAAAAAAAAAAGGATGAGGTTTGGAGAAAACCCAAGGATGATTACTGCTTTCAGAAGAACAAACGTTTCATCTAGGAGCAATTCTGCAACGACAAGGTGGAGCCAACCCTTTCTTTTGTCATAACCATGAGAGCTAAAACTTGCTTTTTTTCCCCTGTACTGAGCAGTTGGCATTGCTGCTTCAGAAAACTCTGGGTATCTGAGCTAGACTCAGCAATTGGTGAGAGGGAAAAGTATGGGACTAGTGCAATAGTGATAAGACAAAAAACCCAGAAAGAACAAAAACAAGACATGGAGGAGGTTTTATGTCAGATCAGTGCAAGAATTACTAGTTACTGGTCACCAGCACAATATAATGATGGCCATAAACCTCCTATTTCTTTAAAATCTTTAAACAGGTCCAGAAAGTGCCAGATATGCAAAGCCATCCTCCCAAGCACAGCCGAAAGTTTAAATCAGTTAACATTTTAGTGACTAAATTTTCCCTCAATTTCTAAATAATAACAGCTGTGAGATGTAATGATGTTAGCACACATTCATCCTCATTTTAGCTCTCGACTCCTGTGATTACTGAGGAAGAGGTATTTGCCTATTAAGATAAGCTAAATATATGTAAGGATGATTGTTTCATAACAATTTAAAACACGAAAAAGTCTGGCTTTCATCTGCAGATGGGGCATGCACTGATACACTACACAAGCTCTAATTATCCACTTACAATTATAATTACAGGGATTGTTTCAAGCTGCCAGTCACTTGCCTTCAACATTCTTAGCAGTGAACTGTTTACATTCCCTGTATCCAACCATAATATTTGATACAAGCTACACCTGCAAAGTTTTCATCATTAGCACCAGTCTGGAAACAGCACATCCAAACAGCTTTATGGGCTTGAGTGGAAATCCTGAATTTGGAGCAAGAGACCTTCAATAAAGTCTATTAGGAACTCTTCATCTACTGCAGATCAGTAGATACCTTTAACAGCAGAACTGGCCCCACTCCAGTACTTGGCTGTGGCTGCTGCAGGTATTTTGAAGATAAATCAGCAATTTCAAGAGGTGAGGAGCTAGCTGTTCTGTACACAAGCATCCCTATAGACGCTATGCTCCACTGCTTGCAAACTGTAAGCCGGTATCCACTGCAGCGGATCTCTCTCTCTCATTCTCCTATGCATATCATTAATCAGCTTCACTCAAGGTATGAAACCCAAACAAAACCAAAATGGGCAGTTATTTAGCGTTCTTATCTGCCATGGGGTAAGCTAAAATACAAAGGAGTATAGTGTGGCAATGAGGGCATGACACTAGGTATCTAGTCTGTCCTCATTTAAACCAGAGTGATCTTGCACTGATTTAAATAAAGCCAAGATTTCTCTTGAGAGTCAGCAATAAAGCTGAGAAGCAATGTTTTTCCTGCCCGCTCCTCCCTTTGTTTTCACAAATGTGAAGCCTGTTCAGTACATGTTTTTAAAAAGTTTGAGATTTCTCACTTAGGGTTCAAATAAACTCAAGCTCAGACCAAACCCTAGTGGCAACAGTTAAAATGAACAGAGATCAATGATGCATACTACTTGAATACTGAAAGTGAAATTTACCTTGTTCAGAATGACAACTCAAGGATGCAAATTAAGAATTGGGAATATTGTGGGATATAGGTTTTGGGTGAGCCTGTCTACAGAAGAATATAATCTACACAAAATTTGTATTTTATATTATTTGTGTGCTGTCAATACAAATAGCTCTTTAAATGAGGAAAAATCTCAGATAAAACTCATTTAACAGCAACATAGAGATCTGAGTCTGGTTTTTGTCTTAACAAAAACCATGCTGATCCTTAAAATTTGTTCAAACATTAACCAAATTTAATGGCATATTAAATGCCAGCAATGTTTCCCTTTTTTTTTTTTTTTTTAAAATAACTGAACCAAACACATTTTGATTTTCTTCACTTGACACACCTATTAAAAATTCACACCCTTCTTTCAGGGATCTTAGGAACCATTCCCAGTTCTACCACTGTGTAATGCTGTGCCAGTCAGATAACTGTGTTATGCTCTGTTCCTGTTCTGTCACCTGTAAGACAAATGTACCTAGGCTATAGATTTAGTTCTGTAAGATTTAGCAAACATTTGTGAAACTCTGAGGTCTTGGAGCACAACGGGCTATGGAAATGTTGCTATGATTGCCTTAAAAACCAGGGATCAAAACATAAAATCACATTACAGTGGGAAAAGAAATTTCAAGACTGCAGCCTTATCTCTAACTTTCTCCCTGCATGCACCTTTGTCCCCATGTAGGGAATACAGTGCACTTACCCTACAGGCAGCACCTGATATTTGGTCCTTTATGTTGGTCAGGTATGCACTGGGTTGCTCAGTGGTAGAGCCAGCGGTTCGAAGTCTACCCTCTCTTTGCCCTGTACATGAAGGGGATATAGGGAACTCAGATTTAGATGCTCCCATTTTAAATAAGGGTCTTTGTAATCTGTATCTCTATGTAAAGTAACTATAGATATGAACTGCAGTCAAATGGTCTGTAAATGCCAGTAAAAATATTTTGTGAAGGGAGGACTTCAGGCTTACTCCTGCAAAACATGTTTTTCCATGAGTCTTTATGGCTACTGGTTCTATAAAAATAGAACTTCTCATTGATTTTTACTGACTCTTAAAACCAACAGTATGATATGGGTTCATGGTGTGTATTTCAAGACAGCTTCTCTCATTTGCTGTTCCCTAATTAATCCTATGGGCAAAAGGTTTTTGGGTTCTTTTCACAGTGGGACAATAATCTGATGATAAGTATTCCCTATCCATCAAAGTTCTCAAGGCAGTGCCCAATTGCCACTCAAGATTTCAGGGTATAAGCATATCCCATGTAGCTGTAAACTATGCTGAATCAGGCATCGAGCATTATATAGTTTCATACTAATATCCTTCTTCTGAAAAGACACATCCTCTTTTTGACATAAAACTCACCTTTTCTTTTTAGGTAGGATACAGTTTCCTTCATTACTGGGGGGATTAGTTCGCCTTTATTTTTGTCCTTGATACTGTTAGGGGGAAAAAAAAAAAGTAACAGCCATTAAATGGCATTTATAGACAAAGAGTCAAAACGAAGACAACAGTTCTTGGGGAAAACCTGAGATATATCTGAGAGCATATGCTAAATTCCACAAATTAAGGAGCCTGCACCAAACAAAAGAGTCATCCACAACTCTAACAGGCGCTGAACGAGCCACTGAAACAAGACCTGGACTTCTATTCAAAGAGCCCTTTGGAAACACTTCATTCTTGTTAGAAAAGCCATGTAACGGCAATGGCACCGAGTAATAAATAAGTGCTGTGTACTGTACTGAAGAGGAGTCAAGGACAGAGCAGCAAAATGATGTTCCAGGCTAACTTTGCCCCTACACAAGATTGGTTTTGCTCTAGTTTTGTTCCCCTCGCTTGGCATGCCCCAGCAGGGCTGCATTTAACCCTGATGCAGTGAAGGCAGTGGTGGTGGCTCTGATGGGATCTGGTTGGACACCACTAGTGGAATGGGTTTCAAAGCAGCTTAGAGCCAGGTGAGGAAGGAGTTTGCAGCAAATTCTTCATAGTAAGTCTTGATCAAGGGATGCTGCAAGTTTAGGAGCCTTTTATTGTGCAGATTTTTCTTTGTCATTTGTCTCTTTTTAAGCCACAGTGTGTGTATAATTAAAAGGATGCTGTACTATTTATTCTGAAGGCAAAGTGATGCTGTGAGATTATTAATGCTTTGAATGATTCCCATGAAATGAGATTTCTTTCTCTTTCATAAGTGAACAGTTGAGGCAAAAAATCGAACATAGCATTTTCTTGATCTAGACAGCACGGAAAATTCTGCAATTATCTTCCTTATTTAAAAGAAAAAGTCTCTGGCAGTTTAAAAATTATAACAAAAGAGACAGTCAGTATCTGCTGAGTATTCTGCTACATTTTTATAGTAATCATAACAAAATACAGGACCAATATCAGATTCTTAAGTAGACTTAATATATATTTATGTGTACAATTTCATACTTGATATTTAAAAGGTGACCAGCTTTACTGACAAACTCTATAAAGCACCAGCACAGAGATCTATGACTACATCATGAAAGGCTGCAAATGCTGCAGCTCATCCACAGAAAATGCAAGATGTTTATACTGCGCGTAATATAGCCTTAACCTAGTGCTGCTAGCTGAGGTTGCACCTGCAGAGGAGAATGATTCTTAGAGTATTTTTCTTTTCCAAGTACAGTGATTTCTTCTCTTTTTGTCTAGCCTAGCTTACTACTTTATGAATATAAAACAACTCATAATAACTGGACTGTATTTGATACAACTTCTGTAACATTGTTGCATGGAATGACCAATCCAGTATTACATTTTGTGTTTAAACTACACATAAAAACTACTTTAAAATCATGGAGGAGTAGGGAAATTGTCGACTTTTCCACTCCTCCTCGTATTTGTTTTCCCTATGTCTATGAAGGGAGTTAGAAGAGGATATGTAGGCTGGTTAATTTTGGACCTCCAATCTTAGGGTGGTTGGTCACCCCCAGGTTCACATATGGGGGCGGTGGGGGTGTTCCTCCGACGGGAAGACTCAGAGTGGGATCCTGACTTAGGTACTGGATCACCCTGTCATTTCGCCTCTCTTACTCGTAAACTGACAGGGGAATATACTTCACTCTGTTCCGTCATTCAGCCATCAAACATTTTGATCTCACACATCACTCCAGGGACATGATGCTGAGCCACCAGTGCCATTTCTTCCAGTTACAGTTTTGTTGCCCACCCAGTCCCACTCTTCCTCTTTCCTATTCTTCCTCTTTCATATTTTGTGTGCCACTTCCCCTAGTGCTATACAAAACAATACAATTTATTACATGATTGCAACAAACTTGTTAATCCAGCTCCCAGAGCTACTTCTACTATTTCAAATACCTAGACCACTCTGCTGTTTGAAAGGAGATAAATTGTTCCTTCAGCTGCAGAACTAATGAAGTTGATCTGCTATGGATTTATATGCTATGGCCTACCTGTCTCCTCATCACAGCAATCCGAGATAATTTCTTTATGTCTTCTATAATCTCACTTCCCTTACATAGCATTTTCATTTCCTCCCCTCTTTACCTTGTATTTCCTCAAAAGGTAAGGAGTAGCTCATAATTAATCACCACCTAAACACTAACTGGTGCAACCAGCAGACCAAAGACAACAGAAAACTGAATTCCTGCTACAGTTCTTCTCCTTCCAGCCAATGATTTTTAAAAGCTTGTAGTATTCGTGAGCGCTCCACTTCTCTGTCAAATTCGGTTGACATGAGCCCATAGCTCTTCTGTGAACCTACCTAAAAATCAATCCATTCAACAATTTTTTCCTGCTCTTTTTCAACAAAGTATCCATACCAGAATCTGAAGTGTATAAAATTCAGTACTGCTCTATGTGTGGGTTACTACTACTTTGTGGACACTGCTGTATCCATATCTAACAGGAACTGTTTAGGAAAAGGGAATTTTCCTTGATGTAAACAGACATAATAATTTTGATAAAAATATATAGGCAAGTTTCAGGAACTGTGTTCATAACATGATAATTTTAGACATTTGACCAAATAAATTCTACAGTGTATGCAACACACTTGCAGAAAGAAAGGCTAACAGCAAGGAACGAGTTTCATTTAGACAACCCTGAAGTATAATCTTTTATACATTAGTAATTCCCATCATTTGCTGCTGCTTGAAAGTATGATCTTTAGATGAAATGATACAACTTCTTGTCCTTACACACTGGCAAGGCACCATTAATTTCAGTATGAAACAGTACTGGACTTGCTGGAATAATTGTTCTCTGCAGTATCATAACAACATGATAATGGCCAGAGGAAAGATTTATGACCCGACTTGTAAGACCAAGTCCAACCTCAATCTTCCTCATTATCACAGACATCTTATGAGAGCTAAACCAGAGGCCGTAAGTGCTTTATGAAAAAACCTCACTGACTAGAGAAGGCCATGGCTTGAAATGCTACCAGGACCAAGTTTATGACTACTCCTCAGAGCAGCATCCTCTTCTTACCCACAGTGACAATCAGGTACCTCCAAAAACCTCTCTTCTAGCAGCAAAACCCTCTCAGCCCCTTTCATGCTATGTATCCCATCAGTCCTAATCTCTCCTGCTCCTTCCAGTTTCAACAATCTTACAGTAGTTTCACGCATGCTGGTGACACCGTAGAGCGGAACGTCAGTGTTAGTGTTACAGCCATGTGGGAGTGGTGCCATGCTCTCAGGCCAGCTCCAAGACCCAGGTTGTTCTCCCCTTCCCCCTGCCTTCCACCTAGACCCTGGAGAAGAAAAATAGGAAGTAACTTTGCTTCAATACCATGAGCTCTCATACCAGCCCCTGCAAAAAGTTGGCCACAGCAAAGGGAACAGGGCCACGCAAACACAGAACACATGAACCTGCTCTGAAAGGCAGCTTCTCTATGTGAATTATTTTCTCTCCCAGCAGATCTGTGTTGTATAACAACCCTGCTGCAACAACATAGAACAAAACAGGCAGTGACTGTGCAGCCCCATTAATATATTAGCCTTGCTAATAAACCACACAAGGAAGGAAGTTCTAGGGGTTCTTTGCACAGCACGCGGAGTTGAAATCCCCAGTGAAATGATATCCCCCAGTAAGGGACTAAACAAGAAAAGAGGCTGGGAGATGAGGTCAGTACCAAGGTCAATGTTTGGAATACCAGCAAGGAAATAATGCAGCAAATCAAGGTAAGAGGAAAAAACCCCCACATTTATTTTAGTTTTTCTAATAGGGGAGTTATAACATGCTCCTTGCATGTCAAATAATTTTGCCTCATCGATTCAGATCAATACCCTAAACATGTAGGGCAACTTCTATTAAAATTAGTCGAAAGCCTAATTCACTTAAATAGGAACATCATCAAGACTTTAATTTGCTTGGAAGCTGTTACATCTTTATTATTGACAATTTAAGCTCATGGAACCCATTCTCAGTCTCTCTGAAGTTGCACTGATTGGTTTTGCTTTCTTACAGCTGCTCACTCCAGAGGCACCAAATAGCAACCCAGCAGCTTTTTATAAATGTTTTCTAATTATTATTGTTACCCATAAATGTGTTTCCCATTTCAGTGTATAAATAGCAAACTGATTATTTACAGCACTTGCTCCTGCTGAGTACTAGTTTATCTGTCAGAGAGGTGAGACAAATAACTGGGCTATAATTTGTAATAATAAAGCCTACATATCATTTTTCTTTTTCTAGGAAAAAAAGATACAGTTTCTGCACTTCTACCATTTTCTACAGGATTCCTGTTTCCCTTGAAGGAAAGTTTTCGTTCCCAGTACAATGAGAGAGGTCCTCAAGATAAATGGTATTTTAAAATAGAGTAGGATATTCACTGAAAGCCACATGCAAAGGATTGTTCTGGTTTTGCGGCACTGGTGAAAGCTGGGATGCATATTTTCATAGCATTTCACAATGTGGGACACAGCGTTCAGTTTACTGGACCTAAGGTGACAGAAAATAATAGGGGCATTACTTCAGCTAATGTAAATCAGACGGGCTCAGAGGTCAATGAAATTACACCTCTATCCTCTCTTTGTGGATCCTGTCAAGTAATCTGCATTTTTCTTGCCTTGTTCAGGATGGCGTGATGAGCAGCTGCGCTTGATGATGGACAGTGCAGACTGACATTGGAGATCAGGCACTACTACGGGCAATTTGAAATGAGAGATCTCTTTTAGTCTTTCTGCTTAAGAGACGAGCATAACAGAGCATTTCAGTGCACAGTATAGTTTTCTGTAACTGATTCACAGATCTGAATCATATTGCAGCAACATGTCAGATTCAAGAGGGATCTATCCTGGTAAACACAGTAGCCAGAGAGAATGAGTACTCCTCGCTATAGGATATATGATTAGTTAATGTAGCACGTTATATACCCAATGACTCATTTCTAGACAGTGGACAGTTATCACGAAAGGCCTTTACACGTTGTCCTGAAGTGTCATTAAGTATTCTTGGCTGATAATCTTTCTCTCTCTCTGCTTTTCCTCTCCTTTTCATTTTTTCCCTGCTGAGACATGCTGAGATTTGGTTTAGAATGCATTCTTCCTCCCTGGTCATGCATGCACAGCATGCACAAGCAGAAAGATTATGACCAAAAGGAAAGCACCCTGAAATGTTTATGGTAACAATTCAACAAGCAAAAGCTGTACAGTCATGGCAATTCCGTGCATTTTCTCTGTCCCCTCTCCCAATAGATAGAAATAGATAGAAAACCATGGCAATAGATAGAAAACCAAAACATTTCCACTCTTCCCACAGAAGATACGTAATTTTAGATATTAAAACCAATCAGAGAAAACAGAACAATGTCAATAGCTAGTCAAGGTCAACTCTGTGCCCTGTGCTGGAGCTCAGCTGTAGCCTTCCTTGATTGCAGAGGCAATCGGGTGCAGCAACAGGGGTTTATAGGAGCTTGCTGAACGTACAGCAGAGGACGATGATGCTGCTTGGCCCATATAGTCAATTATTAGTTCCTTTACTATGCTGCAGATTTAGGAAGCTTCATTTGTGCATTTTAACTGTACTTATTTGATCAACATAAGCAGAGGGTCCCCCAAATTTTTCCTCACCTTTTTAAACGTAGAATCTTTACTATTGGCTTTTAGAATAAAAATCCCATTTTTCACCCTGATATGCAGTGCAAACCAGCAAGGATATATTCTGAATACCTAAGTCCTGATGCTCTACATTTTGTGTGTGAAGGTGGCATTGCTGAAAGAACAGAAAAATAGTCTTGCTATATCTACACAATACAGGAACATTCTTTGAAATGTCTGGATTTAGAAAAGCGATAGCTACTGGTGAGTAACAGAAAGTAATTTCCACAGTACCCTCCTCTGTCAGTCTCTGATCACTACAAGCTGGGACATTATACCCGAGGAAGTATCGCCGTACGCTTGCCCTGTTCTAACACTGTTCCCTGCTAACATCTCCTATTGCCCTCTATTGGAGACATGACGTGAGGCTTGATAAAACTTTAAACTAGCTCATTACAGTTGTTACTCTCCTCACTCTATCTGCACATAAGAAGCTTGGATTAGCAAATTAGAGAAGGACATAATAAACATTAAACATGCAAACTATTCCACCCGCTCTGTGCTACGCATTCCTAAGTTCCTGTCAAACCTGAGCATGTATTCCCATTAAATTATAACTGAAAAATTAAGTGTGGACAAAACCTCCTCAGGAGGACTGTTCTGTCCGATATCCCCATGAAGATGAACATTAGTTCCAGTTGTGTTATTTTATATTGTCAAGAAAATCACATATTTCTTAACATGAGTTCAAACCTTTAAAGGTGCAATTTGGCAATCGAGCAATCCAGGGTGGGGATCAGAAATGCTATGGGAAGACTGTAATTCAGTAAACGGGGCAAATCTGCTCTGTACATGTAGGCATAAAGAATTAAATAGAGAGACAGCTCATTTTTTTTGGTCCCCCCACTTTATTCTAAAGACATCCTATAAGCCAGCTTTGGATGATTTAACTGCCCTTACTAAGCTCATTTATTCTTGTTTGAATGAATGTGGTTTTAGTGGAAACTTCAGGACAACTTGGTACTAGATTCAAGCGATAGCTGCGAAGACCAAATTGTTGAGTCCTCGTAGGAGCTCACAATGAGGAAGTTTTTCCATTTCACATCCGTGCCTAACATAAAGTACACATCTAAATCCCAGACAAGTAAAGGTAAATAAAGCTAGGTAGACGCTAAAGATGAAGTCAGCTTGGTGTGTTTGTTTTTTCCTCCCAACAAAGAGTTGAGGGTGACACTGAGGGGTTAAAGACATCAAATGCAGCAATTTTAAGTTCAGATTTTGGATCATGAGTTGATAGGGTTAACGTAAGACAGAAAATTTTTTAACTAACCTGATAATAAGCCCTTCAGCTCGCTCATAAATTAAACCCACTTCAGTATAGACTACATTTCAAAGAATTATATTCTGAGCTCTCACAGACCTTCCATGATTTTTAAATGCCTGGACGCCTTATGTCATTTTGAAAATCCGACTCCACAAAACTAAAAATGTCTTTGTGAGTTAACAGATTCCTCCAAGACGAGGCACTGGCTCCAGACAGTCATTTATCAGTGTCTAGATGGAAACTTCTTTCAGCTTTGTTTTGCTGTCCTAACAAAACAGGTTTTCATCCACCACCACCCATTGGACAGAAGTGAGGTATTTTGAACCAAGATTTAGTCACTTTTTGCTCTTCTAGGTTTTATTTCTAGCTCTGGAAAGGAAATGTATTAACCAATGTAAATTGAGAAAAGAGTTAAATGAGGAAGTGTTACTAGATGCAGCATAGCGCTACTTTTAGGGAGGCACATTCAAAAGGGTATGGCTTTACCACCTTCCACAGCCAGAAGTCATTGGGATACCATTATCAAACATCCTATCAAAATCAGGCCACCTAGGAGGGCTTTGGATAAATCCCATTCACCAACATTTTACTGACTGAATAAAAATCATCATCACAGAAGTACTGAATCTGACAAAACCTCAGGCCTACAGGCCTTACTGTTTCTTTTCTTAAACTAAAGAAAAAGACTCCACAGCGAAACAGTCCTTTAATGACAGTAGCTTTCTCTCAGCAGCATCTCTGACAATACAATTTTTACTAACTGTAATGAAATACACAGCACACATATTCCCATAAACCTATACAAAATAAAATCAGGGTCTCCCTGTAGCTGTCTTCAGAAAAATGGAAGAGCCTCACCCAGGAGACAACTTCAAACTTGCTTCTCTGCTAGAAGGTGGGAGGTCACTGCCATTTTGCCATTACAGTCTACAGAGATCATAAAAGGAGGGGGAATTAGCAAAAGCAATTAATTAATCAAGACTGTTGATTTTTTTTTTTGTTCAGATTTTAGAAGCTCTCCACACATATAAATCCCTCTCCTCTGGTAACTAACTTTACCTTTTTTTTTTTTTACCTCACAAACACAGTCTAAATTAAGTCCTCTATTTATCATTTAGAGGTCATAGGGGATTCGTTTATTTTTGATTTTTATGCAGTGATGCAGCACCATCTATTCTGCAAGAGGGAATTTGGACAAGAATGGGCAAATGGAATGAATATCCCCATGTACGTCCATTTCAGACACCCAAGGGCCATGAACTGCACCCACACACAGAGGGCATCCATTCGTCAGTGACTCCATCGCCAGCGCTGGAACTCTCTGGGTCAAAAGTGATTAGTAATGCCTCGCTCGGTGTTTTTCCACCCACAGATCTTCCACAGAAAAGCTCTTTATAAGTAGCCACCCTTTTTATACTTGGGAAAGCTAAGGCATGCAGCAAGGACATGGTTTGCTGCTGGTAACGCAGCTGGAGAGCGGGAGAGCCAGGAAAGGCGGCCACCACACCCTCACCACGTGCAGCCCAGTGAAAGACACTGTTTACTGTTCAAGCACAGTCAGAGAAATAAAATGTGACTAGCAGATGGTAAAAGCGGCACACAACATGCTGTTTGATCACATAACCCCATGAGAAGTTCAGGCTGGGCTGGAGGCAAGCGACACTGTGCCCTGATGCCTGCAAACAGTCCTGGTTTACTACTGCAGCAGCGGCATATAACATTGTCCTCCTTAATGATGCAGTGGAGCCCACCTAAAAGATATGCTTTGAATTAGGGAAGTGAGTTAGCCGTGTTTCAAGTGTTAAGGGTGAACTCTAAAGAGGTATCATAAAAGTTAATGTCATGGTAGCTCTTACACAATAGATATTGATTGTTCTAATTTCAGGCCTTCCAGAGAGAACTAATGCTTAATATTTAACCAGAAGAAAATTATATTTTATTCCTCATTTACAGCTGAATCATTAGAACCAGAAAAGTAGACTAGGGGTGGGAGGAGATTCAACAAATTCCATGTATCAGACAGCCTAAATTGCCTTTGCTGAATGTGAACAATATTCTTCAGCTGTTTTTGAGGATGCCATAGAAAAACAGTTTTCCATAGCGCTCTGACAGAAATGACTGCGGGTAGGAAGCTAGAAGGTTTTGTGGGTTTTTTTGTTGTTTTTTACCAAAATTGAATCTTGTAAGTACTATTGCCATCCCATTCCTTGCGTAAAGTAAATCATTTTTTATACCACATACAGTGCTGTAATCTATGTAAACAGCTGTCAGGGCATTTCTGGAAGAGAGTGATTTTATTCATTTCATAAAACTCTGATCAGAACAATATGTGAGTAACAAAACAACAATATATAAAGGCTCAAGCATCCATTTTAGCTTTATGTAGCCATTTTGGAGCCTAAAGCTTTGTTTTGGCTTTGCTATCCACCATCTAAATATCTCCAAAACACTTTCATACTGCCAGCATCCATCAGCAACAGATTAGCTTGGGGCTCTGTCATATATGGGCAAATTTCTGTCCACTGGGAGAAAAGTCGTGCAGTCATGCTAGCACTACCACAAAGACATTGTAAACATGAAGACCAGGCCAGTGACTGGGAGTGTGAGACCTGTCCTGAATTCATAAAACTTACTGTCTAGCTTCATAGTTTTGCGGCTTTCAAAGAGAATGAGAAACTACACATAAAATAAACAAAATATCTGCAGTTCTGTCCAGTGAATCTGCACATTACAGAAGGCTGCAGGGTACAGAAATATCATATTTTAGAAATCTCATGGCTTACTATTGCAGGCTGACTCCAAATTGCTGGGTAGGTAGAGGTGGCCGTGGTGGAGGAACCTTAACCACAGGTGGCAGTTTTCCCTTCTGTTTCCTCCGAAGATTTTCATCATGTCTGCAAAAATCAAGAAATCATTGAGTTCCTGTGCACCGTGGCTGACAAACTATATATATGAATAGTTTCCACTATTGCTTATGATGTTGATTTCCTGACAATGTATATGCTGCAGGTCTTACAGAACTTTAATTTAATTTAAGCATTAGGGAAATTTTTAAGTAGTATTTGTTGTAGAATACTTAAGCAAGACATAGAAGAGCTCTTTTGCTTCAGCCAATGGAGTATAGTAATAAATGTGTCCAAAAAATAGGAACGCACTATAATTTAACAGCAAAATTCAAACCTATTTGCTACTCAAAATACAACTCCCCTTTCTTTGGCAACCATGCAATCCAATTTATAACCTTAGAGCTGTAAGGTATTTTCTGCTATTCCATATTTACACAAAAGGTGTGTAAAAACCCACCAGGCATCAATAACAGTCATAATCAAAGCTTCCAGTTACTTTCATTCAGCAGTGACATAAAATCACTTCCTGTCAGTACATCAAAGCATTTCCATGTACAGCGCTGTGTCGAAAAGACTGTTATTGACACTAATACTGGCACTTGACAACTCCAGCCCTATGCATTTCTTTTTCTTCTCCTCTCCCACCCCCTCTCCAATACTCCTCCCTAACACACATACACACACGATATAAAAGTAATGGATCCACTAACAATAGACGTATCCATAAAGTTTAAAATCAATCAACACTTTGCTGACTGGGAATGCTCTTAGCAAAAGAAAGTCACTTAATCTGTTACAATATGCAAGCAAAGAGGTCAGGATTACATTTTTGCTCACGAACATTACGTGATACTCATAAGCAGTAATGACATATGGATTGGTTTTGCTAACACTTATAGAGAACCTGCAATTATACTAAGAAAATGTTCCACAACTGAGATGGAGATGTTCCAAATCTGTAGAAAACTATATAGTGTTCTCTTCTCTAAACACCTGATGTGCTTCAGCATGTCTTTGATGGCAATGCAGCTTTCAGAATTAAATCCAACCAAGCACAAATAGGTAAATTAGACTTTTAATCATTGAAGAGACAGGATTATATTCTGCTTGGAATACAGTGAAAAGGATGTAACTCTACCTGAGAAAATGTGAGACAAGGTATTTTAAACTTGCCACGTACCGGATGACTTCTTGAGGGATATTTAGCTGGTCATATTTGAGATGCTCTCTCAGGTCACTTAAATAGTTCAAGTAGGTTATCTTTTTCCCAAACTTATGGCTAAAAAAAAAAAAAAAAAAAAAAAAAAAATCACAAAGAAGTACAAAAATCAGCATGGGAGGAACGTTTATGAAGGGTTTAGTTTCTATTACAAAAATGTAAGTGCTGATGCAACTCAAAATTAGACTGTAATTGAAGCAGCAGGAGACATAAGATGTATTTCATTTCGTATGATCAAACATATACAGTGCATGCCTGAGAGTCTGATTTGAATAAAAATAACTGACTGCCATCTGAATGTTTTGTGATTTGCATAGATATGAAAAACACTGCTTTAAAAGCCGCTGAAAAACAGCTTTCACACAGCATTAGAAAGCTCACTAAAAGAACTGTTAACTTGGGAGAAAATGTTACACAGCCAACAGAACAACATGTTTGTGTTATTTAGGTATTCCTCCCTGCCAAAAGACAAAATAATGGGGCTGTAGACACAAACTATAAAGTAGTAAGTGACAAGCAAGATTTTCAAAGCGTGGATAGTGTATCCCTTGAAGTGCTGGGCCATCAGCTTTATCTTGAAAAGGGCTGGATAGCTTCTAGGAAACATCCTGAATAATAAGGTTTTTCAATGAGTTGCACAAAACAGATTTCCAAATTTGAGGCAGCAAGCATCACTAGTTAGGTCTTGAGTTTCAGCCAGAATATATTACTTACAGGCTGAGGTGTTCAACCAAGGTTCAGCGACACATTTATACACATGGCCTGAAATAATTTTGTTATTTTTCCACCACACAAAATACCTGTCCTGTAATGAAATGTCAAGCAAAATAATAGGTGTTTATCTAAAAAAAGTGTATTTTGCTGCAACTTACTTTGATAGTAAAATTGGAGAAAAATCCTCTCACATTAATGAGTTTATGCCTGGATTGTCAAATACACATACACACACTCCCTCTAGTGGGAGATGGTACAAATAAAAGTCACTTCAGCATTTTAGAAGCTTTTAACTGAAATGAGCTAAATTTTGCTAACAGGCAAGCAATTTTGGGACACTGAAGGATATCAGTCTACAAGTGTACAACTTCAGAGCTCTTCAGTGCATCTTTTATTCAAAACACCCTGTGATTTCAACATCTTACCTAAGCCATAGGCTAGCACAGAATTCTCGGTAGCTAATCACCTCTGGTAATGCAGGACGTGTTACAGAACATGTAATTTGTAAGGCATAAGTTGTGGGCAATTAGGAGTTATTGCTCTTCCTTAAAAATGCCACATCACCTAAATATGTATCATTGTGGTAACAGGTGGGTGGCTTCTGTTAGCTCACACAAAGAAATGTGCTCTTCTTACAGTTTTTTTACAGTTTGGAAAAAATATATGTGACCTAACACATTACTTTCTTGCTCGTCTCTTTTGGGACTGGAAAGGAGATAAATCAACTTCTGGAGCTTGAAAAATGTCAAGTATTTACACTTTCTTAAATACTTTCAAATACAAGTATGCTAAATTACTTATTACTTTTGTTCTTCACTCTAATAATTCTGTCATTTGTCCAGTTCTTAGCAAACACATTGTTCATACAAAAGTACTTAGGCCATGTACTAACAGGTACCAAATAATAGACCTCTGAATAAAGACACGTTTCTTGATAATGAAATTTAGTTTACATTTGCAATTTCTATTGGAAATGCTATCTAAAAATTAGTCTGGGCTATAATTCAGCAAAGCTAGGAAACAGAAAGTCCAGAGGATTTCTCTCCCTTCTTTTTGTGAACTTTGGTTTAACATTGACACTTCAATAAATGCATGACCTGCTGAGATAAGATTACTCTAAACTGGGAGGAAAAAGTGAACAAGTTTTAAATTGTACTATTCTAGTAAATTAACAATGTTAGTAAGTTTTAATATTCAATGAGAGTACAATTTAGGCAAATTGTACATGGGCACTTTCACACTTCAGTTTAAAAATTATACTCTTATGTTTTCCTTTACTTGACAAACCCAAATCTTTACTTGAGTCAACCCAAGCCACATGCATGTGAGCGTTCAGTAATTAAACCATTTTAAGTACTAAAAAGGGTTTTTTCCTAGCTTCCGCTAATTCCTGCCTTCTGGCTTGTGGACCTTTTCAGAGTTTACTCATTCTTTCAATTATTTTGTCAGTGCGACTGTACAAATATCTTGTTTCTGTTGGTCATATACTTTAACAAAAGAGAATAGAGTGTTGCTACATTAGACTCAAATCAAGTATCCAGGTACACACTGGTAAAAGTCAAGCTCAAACAATAACAATCCTGATGAAAGCAGGGTGTTCAGAAGGTCAAGATGATGATGCATCTAAGATGACAAGCCCTGATTTGAATTTTCTGTGCTAGATATGAATGCTTAAGCTTATCAGGATCACCTATTTTCACATCTGAAATAAACAAGGATTTAATTGCCAGTGTGTCATATTGTTCAAGGAAAAAAGTATTCATCTTATTTAGACAGAGATAGTAAGATCCAGGGAAAATGAGTATTTGGAACAGGTACCTGTAAACTTTTCTTGTGTAAGAATTAGCAGCCAATTATTAGTCTAAGTCAATTAGCACAGCTGTTGTCCAGCTGTGGCTCCACTGAGTGCATTAACATGCACAGACCGAAAACTGTCATCATCTCAGAACTGCTTGCCTGGAGCTATTCCCAAGGACCTCTCAGCTGCCTCTGAGAAAGAAGTTGGTTTCATCTGCATGTTGTAATGTACATAGAGAGTTTTTCTGGTTTTATTGTTGTGGTTTTTTTTTTCCTAGAAAGCTCTCCATACCCATCCTACAGCAAATCAGAAACAAACAAACAAACAAACAAACAAAAAATCCTTCCCCATTCCTGAAGTATTATCAGCTACTGGACCTCCTGCTTCTGTCACACTTTTCTCACCATTGGTCTACGTCCTGGATCTCTGGCATTTATTTTACTGCCAGTTAAAATAAAGATCTTGCTTCTTGCTTCAAGAACAGCATATTCTGGAAGGATTTTTAGTGGTAATTACATTTTTATTTTCACATGCTTCTTACATGTTCTGATCTCTCTAGAAGTTAAACTTCCCCTTTCCAATTAATTAGCTTTCTACCAGTCAGAACTGAATCAACTGCAAGTTACTGTAATGGACATTTTTAGTTGGTTCATTATGGCTTCTCAAGATAAGCTGGTTTTGTCCTTCAGCCCTGAGGACATTCATAATATAATCTGCAAAATGTTAGAATTACTTTGAAAGTGACAGAAGTTCAGGACTAGAAACTATGAAAGCCCAACCATCCTAGCCCTTAACAATATCTGCCCATTGTTGCTGGTTCCTTGTAGATGGCATCAATTTTTACCATGCAAAAGAAAAAAAATGCACCAGCAAAATACATCCACCTTCACCATTATACCCTCCATCTTAAATTCTTACAGGTGCTTCAGGGCCTATCCATTAACTTTGAACACAGAAGTAGTATCATTCCTATTCATCTCAGCACTTGAGATCAGACTGAAGGTTAACCATTTATTATCTGCTTTACTGTACCACCTAGTAACTCCAGTCACGGACCCAGTTCTATTGTGCTAAGTGCTGTCAAAGAGGACAAAGAAGTCATTCATGGTCCACAGAATAACTATGTTTTAAAGTGATATTTACTTTAACATACCAGTAAAACTACTATTAATTGAGACTCCCTTTTCTTAGGAAAAAAAAAGAACTCTACCCTATTATTCACACCCAAGCTTAAGCTCACCTTACTCATTAGTTCAAGACAGTTTAAATGGCTATTGTGCTGTTATCTGACATATTTTACCTCAAGCCTTTTTAAAAGCAAGTTATTAGAGAACAAACCGTCCTTAAACTAAACGGGAAGATGTGTTGAATAAACTGCCAAGTACCTTATAAGAGGTTTAAAGATATTCCACAGAATTTTTATGAAGTTGGTTGGATGTACAACATAGAGTGCTTTAAGGTTTTTCTTATACCTAGGAAAAGAAAATGAAATTGTTAGAAGACTTTTGAATATCACAGATCGTAGAACTGAATAGCTACGACTGAATGGGAGGTATTATTAGAGGAACATTACACAGCATTCTTTCAAGTACTTTCAAAAGACCTAATTCAGAAGAAACTGAATATAAAATGAAAAAAACCCCAATTTTAAAAAATGGTCAGTTTTGATGATACAATAGTAGGCCAAGATAACACTGTTATGTTCCTAACCAATGTCTGCTGTCTCATAGGTTTAATAACAGGGGGACAGAAGGGAAATCAGGCAACTCAAAAAAAAAAAAAAAGAGAACAAAGAGTCTATTAAAAAATTCGGTGGTATAAAAAAATTACTTTCCTTCATCTCCCTTTATTTTCTGCTTACAGGATTTTCATGTTGGAGAAAACTTCTAAATTTTCAGATGTAAAATTTACATCTAATCTTTTATTTTTACCACTACTTTTGTCTTGTTTTGCTAGTAATTACTAAAGGTGAAGCCAACTGCCCGCTGTTTTATATTGGATGGTCCCCTTTGTATGAAACAAAAACCTTTCTCCATTATAGCATTACTTGATTCTACCGTGTCATATCATGATACCTAAACAATAGATTCTAGTAGGCTGAAACTGAAATGGAAACCAGGCTGCACAAAAAGACTCTGCTCTTATTCAGTGTTATTGCAAAAAGAAATTGAGAAACTCATAATGAAATATCCTGCTTTTATATATAAATTGTTGGTTATCACTTTGCCAAGTTTGCTTCCCAGTAGGAAGTGCCCCTCCCAAGCGTTCAGCATTCATTTTTAGCAAAACAATGATCATGGAAAAAAATGATCACCAACTCCTAAGAAAAACCTCTTTGTAACAGACTATAGTAAGAAGGGATAAAGGGACCAACTCAGCAAATACAACAGTTTTTCCTTTTGAGTTTTAATTGGGCCCATACAACTCTGAATGAAAAGCCACTGTTTTCCCAAAGCCACTATCAATACACAAGCAAACAACTATCCCCCTGCAATTGGCACCTCTGTGGATAAGAACCCCAGATCAACAATAAAAACTAACAAGCTAAACACCTGGGTTGCTTTACTGAAGTTTCGATGTTTTGTACCTTGAAGCAACGGGCACAAGCCGTTGCTTCTGTGGAAGTTTACGTACTTCACAGTTTCCTAGATTACAATTAAATGCCCACAAGACTTTACTAAGCCTCTGCTGTAAACCTTCAAGGTAAGAGCTATTCTTTTGAAACTGTTCCTGTCGAACATTTACTTTCATGACACTAGCTAATTACTATTGTAGCTCGTACTCTCCTTTGTTCTCTTTCCTTTGAGCCCCAAACCACACACACAAAGGAAGTCTGAAAGGTGCAATTTTTTTTTTCCTCTGGCTAGTACAGTGGAACATACATGTTGGGCTGTGAATATTGCTTTGAACTTCTCAATGACAGTATGCTAAGAAGTCCCAACTGTGAACATGATGGGTGCACATTTGCCTGGTTTTGCTCAACTACCCGGGCTTCTCTGTTCCTCTTTGGTTCTCCTGCTTTCTGGGTCAGGGTGGGGGAATGGAGAAAACAGATTTCTGGCATAAATGACAGTGGCTTTGTGCACTTGAGATGTACGCACGTCAGGAGGCAACAAAATTGAAGAAGCTATTGCCCTCATACTGCCTCTCTCCATACAGCAACTGTAAATTTGGCTTGGGATTCTCCTAGAAGGAAAACAGCATGGTAGGGCAGGCTTCTGACTCTGTATTTATTTTCGGGAATTGTCAGTGCACAGCAGAAAACAGTATTGTAGCCTAAATCTCTCACCAAGGACAAAATATAAGATATCCTTTACCTTTCTTCTATCTAACCCAATCCCAGAAAAAACAGATAAATTGTACTAACCATATTCAGAAACCCAAAAAGCTTTCTCAGGCTGCTGCTGAGCCCAGAGCAGTATCTCATGAAAGCAGTTAGAGGCTTCAGATGACAGCTTCCCACTGCCGCTGTGAGGGCTGCTATGCACCACCTCATCTTCTTGCTTAGTGGGTTTTAGAGTTTCAGGAGGTTATTGGGTGAGATTCAAAACAGTCTGAGCTCTGGCACTACACCACCAAAAGGTGTTGTGCACATCTCGGCTTCAGCAGGGTGAAAGCAGGGTGTGCAGTCCTGTGAAATGCTCAGGCATTTATACGCCAGTCTAGTCTAGACACACCCAATAATCTTTTTCATGGCATCGTTGATGAGATTTGCTTCTTGTTCCAGCTCCAAAATTGAAAAAATCCAGCATATATGATCCAGTCCCCAAAAATGCACATGCATATACTCTCTCACCATCAGGAAAGAGCTATTTGTGTACATTTTTGCTTTTAGTCATGTTGCCTTCTTGAGGACAATTTACAAACAAGTAGGTCAAGGAACAACTTGCAAACAAGACTGACTGACTTCAACAGGAACTTTCAGCTCCCCTGGTAAGTGTGCATTTTCAGAGAATAAACATCAGAACTTTAGTTTCCACTATTAAAATGCTATTTATCTAGGAGCTTTGGCCTCAACTGCACCCTAACCAATTAAAACATGAAGCCACGAGCCAGAGCTGTTGTTACTCCAAAGGTCAGGCATATACAAGCACAGCAGTCCCTTTGAGGCTTTACATTAACAACCAACAAATGCTGCAAGGGTTGTGCAATATGGACTGCTAAAACCAAATCTTTCCTTTTTTATATACAACCTAGCCTTGGGATGATGAAAGGTTCAAACACAAATGTGAGATAATCGATAATGATAACTAATAAGGTGTCACAGAGAAGGCAACGGCTCTTGGTTTTGTTCCCAAAGCTTTGTATAACTTTGGACAATTGCAGCACTTAGGCCATTCCTTAGTACTGCACAGAAGACACCAGAGAACCAACAGCACCAATATCATTACAATGGCAAAATGAACTCAGTTAGCTGCAGGCGGATCAGGAAAGATCCACTTCCTTCATGGAAGTTAGTTACAGACATTACATAACCCAAAGAGTAAACCAAATATTTTGGAGACATACTTCCTGTCAAATTCTTTGTAGGCTGTTTGTAACCATTTCAGAGATGGTTTATTCAGACTCTTCAGGCCATAGTGAAAGTAGACAACTGTATAATCATTCTCTACATACTGGTCCAGAGTATACTTTAAGTACCTGAGGAGAAAGATAACATTTTAGTTTTAAGACAGTTTAATGGATGAGATTTTAAAAGCAGTAACTGAGAAAGAAAACATGCTGGTTTTGCACAGAACGCTAGTGACTGCAAATTCACATTTGCTTCAATGTCTTACAAGTTCATCTTGCTCTAGTGACAGTGTTGCCAATAATTCCACATCACTGCAAAGCCTGAAATTTGAAAGAACACATTTAGTTACAAAAACTATGGTGCTCACAAATCACTAAAAAATGAAGGCAATATGGAACTCCATTTTCCAAGAAATTTTTTAAAAGATGCATTTTAACTGACAGCAACTTCTATTTTGCTTTCTTCTGGTCTTTGTAAGTTCCTCCATTTTAGCCAAGCACACAATGTCATTTTGACTTTTCACAATAATAAAGAATAAATCTTTTCAGGGTTTTCCTCTGAATTTAAAACTTTTAAAATTCTTGAAAAATCCATTAGCCCTAATTACAGCTTGTTACTGTAAACTGTTTTCTTGAATATATCTGCCTTTCCCTTGTTTGTATTGTGGGAACTGTGTTCATAGATCATTTCCCTTAAAACTAAAGAACTATACTACTTGTCCCACCTTGAAATAACACTGCATGTTTTATAAGCAGATTTCTGTGTGTTCATTCTTTTATGGTATAGTTTAAGATGCTTTCCTCTTCCCTTTCTCCTACAGCCGAGAACACTGTAAGGCCTATTACACAGCTCAATGATTCAAATAAAGCAATGAAGGAAGAGTACAATCTGGTCTCATCTCTTGCTGTGTCAGACTTCAACTTTCTCATGTCATTCTCCATGTTCTCTTATTATTCTGCGACAGAGCCCCAGGTATTGCTCTTAATTGTATGTAAGCGATCTTCATTCAATAAAATAGATAGTTCCATATGCATTTATTAGGCTGTGGCTATCTGCAGGTATCAAGGCCACTTTGACTATCTATCTTTGCATGAAAAAGCACATAACTTCACGGTTACACTGCACGCCCACAGTCTCACTTATCTGCTTATTCCCTCAGCATACGGGAAATCTTAAGACTGCAAATAGCATGGGACAAGGACTGCCACAGCAATTAACAGAATGCCGTTTTCATCCCTGACTTAAGCAGTAAAGGTATTTTAATAGAAGTAGTAGTAACAATAATTCAAGACTTTTTTAAAAAGAGTTTGAAATGAAAATATATCTGAATAGATATTCTTACATACAGAGTGCCTTGTGTTTTATTTTACAGCATGTAAGTTCCTTAGCACATTGCATCCAGAAAGCCTGTACTAATTGAGAGAGTTTTGTGGGCATAAAATAACCAGTGTTTTTGTACAGTCAATTACCTGTTCCAAGGCTGTAACAGAACTGTAGGGACATTACAAAAGCTTTACCAAAGCAATCTTTAAGTGATTTCATCACAAAACACCTGCCAATCTGGGCCTACTCTGCAGTTTTTCCTCAAAACTCAACATCTGGGTCTAACTACTCAAAAGCAGATCGCTTGATAGTTATATTGCTTCACATTCACACGCCTGCCTTCAGTTCCCTCTTAGCGCAGTCCTTCCAAGGGAATTTGATATGGGCTCAGATACAGGAAAACATGTAAGTGTTCACGTCCAGAAGAGTCTGAGGGATGGAAATCCTAGTTTCATCAAGGCACCTCCTCGCAAAACGGAGGAAGTGTTCTTAGATGTGGTAGCAACATGGTTTGTCACACTCCTTTCTTTGGCATTTCCTATTAATCAGTGCAGGTAGCTCCTCTAGGTGAGGAGCTGACTGGTGAGGCTCTTCCTCTTAGACACTAACACTCCCTCTATGCTACTTAGGAAGCTTTGTCTTAAGGCTGTGGAAATACCCTAGCTGTGAAGAGCATACAAATGAAGCAACATGGTCTCAAAACACATCTCTTAAATAGCCTGCCTTCTAATCCCTCTCTGTTTCTGAAAAGTTGAGATAACAGCACTTAGGTACTTTCCAAAGGTGGTGGGTACTGATGATTGAAAGGTGCTCAAACATTTTGGCAATGGAGGCTGTACAAGAACTCCAAATAGGTTTAAAATGCTTAATAAGGACAGGACTCCCTTGGGAGAACAGATCTCCTTGTAGTGACAAGCTACAAGGCAGAAACATGTCCTGGTACCTTGCTGCAGCAAGTTTATAAGGAAGAATGTTGTGATTTTACATATTCACAACCTCTTTAAACACAAAACCCCAAACATTGTGAAGTGAGATACATATATAAATGTTAAGCGTGATACACTGTACGTAATGCAGATCTTTTATAAAAGAGGAAAACTACTAAGATGTAAATAACTAGACAATACTTTTACTGAGTGATCTATGAGATGAAGTACAGCAAATTAAGGCAAACATTGCTATTAGTGAGAACATATGTGGGGAGCACTAAAATACTAGAATTTCTCTTTCATTGGTTCTAGTAATAAATTCAATTTTTTAGATACTATCAGAATTCATTAATAAAATCAAGATGACAAGTTAATTTCAGTACACAGTGAATTGCTTCTTCTAGTCAAGATTCCAGGTGAAGTAACTGGCAGTTTCATCCATATCTCATTCACTTAATATTAACACTAGTAGGTCTTACACCTTTTCTTCATTTCACTCCCTGCCTCCTGCTTCTCCTCCCTGAAAGCTCATTCACCTGGAAACAAGCTAATAGAAGTTCACATATAAAATGTAAAGTAGTCCATGCAAGAGATTGAGAGAAACTTACTCCAGCAATCTGGTGTGATTGAGCTGATGGGAGGGGGGCATACGGCAGCAACTGAAGGTAATCACCTTCCTTCCAGAATTGTCATCACCTGGTGAACAAAAGAGTTAGTAAAGACAACACTCTTTTACTTATGCAGTGGGACTTCAGCGATGTGAAGGAATGGCTTGTACCTTCTGATACTTGGGGCTACCTCTGTATCTCCCATTGTTACTCAAAACATACTGCGAAACTTCACTATCAAATCACAAGTTGCCTACGGAAAGCAATTTGGCTGCAGTGAAATGAAGCAGCTGCTGGGTAAATGAGGAAGCTCAGCTAAGACAGGCGTATTCAAAGGTGGTTAGTAGTGCTCAGCTCCTGATAGGGAACATTTAAGTCCTGCAGCATTCAGTTATGGAAGAAAACAGGCCTACTTTCCCTAGTAGTCTTGGAAGTGGCATGTTTTCAAATTCTTCATGCCTTATTTCTGGAATTTATAAGAATACTGTTATGCCTACAAGCACTTTGGGCATTTGCTTTGTCATACACTTAAGTCAGCATTTTTTAACCATCTTATGCTTTCTCAGACACACTTTTCCAAAAGCACTGCTACATTCAGATCCCATTTAAAACACAACAAGCAGGGCATACGCCTATGCTCTTCATAACCTGAAGATCTCTAAGTGTCCGTCCCTTAGTCCCTCTGGAAAAGCATATATTGCTGCACTCAAGTTCATTCACTCTTTGGCTCATGTCCGTCTTCACCCACACTGCCTGTATAGACAAGGTTTGAGTCCATGCCATGCCCAGCCCACAACCACGTTCCACTATCTGGAAAGCCAGGCACAGATGTTAAGTCATGATCATCCTGAAGGTAACTTGGCACTGAAAACTGATGTGTTAAGATTTTAACTTATATCTACGTGAAAGATACCATTCCTTTTAAAGCAATACAGAAACATCCCAGAAAATGTTTAGACTGAATTCATATTTGAGACATTACTCGTCTAATTTCAATGTTCAAACTAAATTATATTTAATTCTTGCTTCTATTGCCACTAAAACTTCAACGTTTGGCTTTGATAGCGGCAGTACAATAAAGTTAAGAATTGGGATTTTTTTAGATATTCTTTATAATTCTGTTGTTCCCCTTTTACCCCTAACTAAGTAGCTGTAATGAAAAAATAAATAAAAAAAAGAAGTAAAATGAGGGAAGTTAAATCTGTAATGGGGTCACTTAATGAATAAATAAAATCTTATGAGCATTTCTATGAAAACTGGGTAGAACAGCTTCAGACCACTTCTTAAGCTCTTCTGATTTGTATTGCTGATGTTGGCTCAAATTGCTTGATCTGAACAAACAGAACACTCCCCAGCTTCACAAACACACATTTTCCATGAAAACCCACCACTGACAGTAATATACTTTCCTTCATTCAACTCATCTGACAGATCCCACACTAAGAAAAAAAATCCTGTATTTGTTTTGTCCAGTGCCTTCCTAGTTGTGCTCAACAGTACTTACAGAGGTCATGATGGGCCAGCATCTATTTAAACCCATTCCATTTTAGGCGCAGAAGGAGAAGAGGCGAGATTAATTCTTAATTTTCATGTATGCACATGGACTGGGAGACATCTTCTGCATTATCAGTTCCAAGCCTGTGTTATCACCAGGAACTGTACCACACAATCCTTCCATCGATTTGTTGAGCTATATCTTAAAAACCAGCTAGGTTTTTTGGTTTCTTGCTCCTCCTGCTCACTGCTTTGACAACTAGCAACCTGCTTTCTCAATTCCAGTCTAAAAGTCAGCAAATTTCTACAAATTTGTTCATGTGACAATGAAATCACTCAGCTGAAGCAGTGCTTCTCCTTCAGTACTAGTTACCATCCTGAAGGACAATAATCATATCCCCTCTCACCTTGTATTTTACTGCTTGTAAACAAGTTAGATCTTTTATCTCTTCCCTGACCTAGCTATTCTCTACCCTGCTCCAGTCTGAATGTATCTTCCCTAAACACAGGTGACAAGAGTTAGATAATCAATTGCAGACAAACATCACATACAGAACTTAAAAGATTACCTAATAATATCAACATAATTTTCTTTACTGATAACCAAGATGAAGTATTAATTTAGTTTGACAGCTATAGCTGGATTATCTCTGATGGCCATCCCACTCCTATTTCACAGAAGATGACTTCTCTCTTTTTTTTTATTTACAAGAACCTTTTGCTATTTGCTTTAACATCTTTTAAAGATCTAACTCAGCTTGAATTTTGGTAATTATCACTTTAGTCCTGTAGTTTTAACTTCCAAAACATAGCTTTCTCTGGTGGCTGGTTCTTTCTTCCTGTTCTCTTTTGGCTGACTGCTTATTTTTATTATCTTTCTCACAGGTGTTTTTTCATCCCACAAGGCTGGTGGCCCTTCCCACATAACAAATAAATTCTGACTCCTGAATTAAATAAGGTGCTTGAGCACCACTAAAGGAAGAATATGCACAATAACACAATTATATGTACTCGGGTATCTCTGCATATTGTTCTTAAACAGACCATAATTTATTTCCTGAAGTTGTTTTTAAGTGTCTTATTTGATAGTCCCAGAGTACTTATAAAGGCATTATAACGTGACATGCATTAATATGAATGATGTACTAAAATTAAATTAAAACATTAATAAAAGATTTTCCTCTAAATCATTACTTGTATGTGAAAAAAATTGCTGTTACATTGCATTGTAGAATATTTTATTTGTGAAAGACAATCACTTTTATGAGCAAAATAAATCTAAGAAAGGTTTCCAGTTAAATTACTAAATGAGTCACTAATTGTTACTGTTGGTCACATTAGACTGCTTGAATTAAAAGTCAGAAAAAAATAACCAGCTTTATAAAAGACTGCAAACAGATACACTTGAACACAAACAAACATCCCACTCTACTCAGCACTTGTCAGGCCACATGTAGAATACTGTGTACAGTTCTGGTCCCCCCTATACAAAAAAGATGTGGACAGGCTGGAGGGGATCCAGAGAAGGGGCCACCAAGATGATCAAAGGACTGGGAAGCCTGCCATATGAGGAAAGGCTGAGAGAACTGCGTTTGTTCAGTCTAGAGTAAAGGAGGCTTAGAGGGGATCTCATCACCACGTACCAGTACCTAAGGGGTAGCTACAAGGAAGATGGAGACTCCCTTTTTACAAGGAGTCACATGGAGAGGACAAGGGGGAATGGACACAAGTTGCTCTTGGGGAGATTCCAAGTGGACACGAGAGGAAATGTTTCACAGTGAGAACAGTCAACCATTGGAATAATCTCCCCAGGGAAGTGGTTGACTCCACCACATTGGACACTTTTAAGACTCAGCTGGACAGGGTGCTGGGCCATCTTGTCTAGACTGTGCTCTTACCTAGAAAGGTTGGACTAGAGGTCCCTTCCAACCTAGGATTCTATGATAATTGCCGAGTTTCAATAATGGGAAAACTGAGGCAAAGAAACTTCCTCAAAATTACCAGCAGAGCAGAGCACCTCATTTTCCCACCCCACACTGCCACACAGGCATCAAGAGCAAACCCGAAAAGGTGACCGAGAACCTCGACTCCATTAAAAACTAAACAAAGCAGTGCCAGCTTCCCATTAGCAATGACAGTTAATGAAAGGAAAGAGGCTGTTCTTTCTTCGTAGGTGTCAATAATGTTTTGAACAACATTAAATTTTAACATGATACACGAAGTGCTGATCAGAAGAGAAGCAGGCTTCCTTTGCCCTCCACCAGAAGGGCTGTGACTGAGCACCCTGGGAAATTCCCATCACATTTGCTAGAGCATTTGCTTCCCAGTCTCATATAGTTTGAATCCCATGACCTTGAGGATAGAGTTTTGACCCAAACATGTGAAAGTACGGTTTGAAGGGTAAAGCGGGAGTGGCAGTTACCTGCACATTCAAAGGAGAGCATAACTGGAAGTATGCTCATTTTAAATCAGCATAGAGTATATTTTTATCCCCAAAAAAACATATTTCCCTACTACATGAACTTAAACAAGTTAGAACTGAAAGATGCCTCATTCTCTACAGGGGACAAAGCAAAAAAGAAGTGCAATTTCAGCTTTGCTCCTTGATGTTTCGCTTTCAGGTCAAAAATGTAGTTTCATATTTACCTACTTTATTCTGCAGTCTCATGTCACCAAACACCTTCACGCTAAAGCTGATAACAACTTCTGCCCTCCCTGGAAAATGTGCTCCTCCCCTTATCTTTCTGCACTGCTTTTAAGGTCCTAATATTCAGGAGGCATTCCCAAAGACTGAGTGCTTTAACTGCTTGGGCACTCACGCTCCTCCAGCCACCTACCTACACCTTTTTAAAAGTCCCTGGCTCGGATTCTGCCCTCATGGACAAAGAGGTCTGACAGACTTCTCTCTCCCATGGGTAGGAGGCTCCTGCCTTTGGATTACTTGCTCTTGTGCAGACGTGTTCCTGGGCAGCCTCAGGATTATCAGCTGTGCTGGCCACGGAGCCACTGCACTTGGTGAGTATAGAGGGGTGTGTAAAGTGTGCTGTCCAGAATGAGATTTCTGCACATTAAAATACAAGCTACCTGCTGGGGTTTGATTTGTCTGGATTTCAGGCAAATAGACATGAATCATATATCACTTTTGATATCAAACTTTGCAGTAGAAACAAAAAGTTACAGTAAGACACAGCATTGGGCAAGTGGGAAAGGGGACTATTCTACTTTTTAATTAAGAATTTGGATGGCACAGCACTTCCTAACTGCTTCTTGCAAGTGAAAAGTTTTTTTCCAATGATACAGCTCATGCCAATTTGCAAATGAGATTTTTTGAATGCTGTAATTTTAGCATGACTTTTTAAGAGCTTTTGTTCTGATGATACTAAACATTACTACTTTGTAAGTGAAAAGTGAAGTACCATTTTACTTCACTGCAGCTTGTCATTATCACATTGCAGCAAAGAAGATCCTAAAGTCAAAAGAAGTTTTGCCATTGAGTTCAATGGGAGTAGAAACAGGGACAAAATCCTGGGGACTTGCCACAACAGTGAAAACACTTGCTCACATATTTGTTTCTTTCATAGAATTTAAGCTAGA